CATGAATTTTTGAGTACATGCACAGCGATACCTATTCAGGGGGAATAGCAGATGGTGAAGGAGAGAGCATTGGAGAGTTGAAGAGTGTCTTGCACCTGGAGAAAACGCATAGGGTCCAGGTGTGACCCGTAAGGCTTTTTGGCCCCTGTGGGTCGCAGGGGGAAGGTGAGCGGGCATGCTAGCCATACAAGGATTGTCACCTACCACTTTGCACGAGCACAGGAGCATGTGTGTCCTCTAAATACGTGTTTATACACCTGTACTTACTGTGGACTGCATTTTTTTGCCTTTACCATCTATAAATAGCTATGTATATGTTATAGAGGGAATCACTGTGTGCCGATTGTGCGGGCTATTTGACACAGAATTCACTATTTTTTTTCACGGTTGTAACCCACTTTATTGTTTATTATATTTGATTTGATACTTAGTTGTCACAGCGCTGCATCAATATTGATTATAGGTACGCAAATATGCGGCCCCACAGAAAAAAACCCCAGTTCTGTGAGGCTGCATATTTGTGTGACATCGGCGCGAAAAGGATTAAAGTCTATGGGCACAAGTCGGCTAGAAGTCGCCTTGAAGTAGCACAGGAACCTTTTCTAAAGTCGGAGCGACTTCAGTGGTGCTAATTAAGACAACTCTCATTGACTAACATGGGATTTCACATGTCATGTGACTTGGGGGTCTCACAAGTCGGATCCTAAGTCGCGGCAGTGTGAACCGAGCCTTAATCTGATGATATATATCTTTTTTTTGCTATTTATGTAAAAGCTTTGGACTGTAAATAGTCAGAGTGCCCCAATGGCACATGATTCGCACAGCAAAAGCAGTTTGCTTTTCAGTTCTAAATGAAATGTAGTGAGTGCCACCTAAAAGGGTCACTCAAAAACATTCAGTTATTTGTACACATTTCAGTAAACTAGTTCAGGTCTTTGAACGTGTCTATCGAATCCAAACTCTGAAAAGGAAAAAACAAGTTTCACCAGCCAGTTCCTGGCTTTAATGTAAAAGTGATTCAGGTAGCTGTAAAGCTGCCCAATCCCTTTTATGGTACTTGCAGGATGCTGTCCATCCCACCATGTCCATTAGACCCCGATGTCTCCTCAAAGAAAGCCTGTCATTTGCCCAATACTATTACATAGTAGGCCTGTTATCCCTCTTGTGATGGCAATAAAGTTACTAAATAAATACATAAATAAAAGTGGTTTGAAAAATTAAAATATAATTAAATCACATGGACGCATGTATGTAAATGATCATACGTCACATTACATGTCGATGTGCACACAGGAGTGGGATAAAATCATTTTAGGTCACTTACAGTGCCTTGGAAAAGTATTCATAACCCTTCAAATTTTCCACATGTCATGATACAACCAAAACCGTCAATGTATTTTAATGGGATTGGATGCGATAGACCAACACAAAGTGACACATAATTGTGAAGTGGAAGAATAATGAGAAATGGGTTTCAAAATTTTTGACCAATAAATCTGTGAAGTGTGGCTTAAAAGGGGGTGAAGCTTGCTCAGTCAGGGGGGAGGAGGAACAGGAGGAGAAGGAGAAGTTGGTGGTGGAGACGCTGATGGAAGGAGAGAGAAAAGTGCTGTGAAACTGTGAGGAGGTCTGCCGGGATGGGAGCTGCCTGCAAGCCTGGAGTCAGAAAGGGGTAAACTCAGACCTCAAGGGACTCTTTTTAGAGGAACACTTGTGGAGCAGGAGAGAGCCGTCCAGATCACAAGCCTGGCTGCTGCAACTGTCCATATGCCTTACAGGAGAGCACTCTCTTAGGGCCAGTTCTCACCACAGGCAGTGCAGTGCTTTTTTCTGTATCAAGGCATGGGAAGGAGGTTACATGGGTTCTAATGGTATAGTTCATATACACCCAGTGCAGTCAGTTCCAGAAAAAAATAATAAAATGTGCTGTAATTTTTTCTGCACAAAACTGTACTGGGATGCTTTACAAAAGCATAAAAAATGCACCAGACCCCAGTACAGTGACAGGAAAAGGAAGAAAAATATATTTTACCCCCCCCCCCCCCCCCCCCCCCCATGGTCCTTATCTCCTCATGATCCACATCTGGACAAGATGAAGCATAGAAGGCTGTATCTGGACCCTGATGGGCTCCATCAGCAGTGGATGTTCCAATAATGCCTTCTCTTGTGGGCATGCAGTCTCAGCAGTGCAATGGCCATAACCATGAATAAGCCTGCCAGTGCAGACATCTTCTAAACACAGCAACATAAAGCACTCAAAGGACACTTCCAAGCAGTGGTGGGGTCACCTGGTACGGTAAAACATGGTGTCAACCCCCAATAATAATTTTGCATATAATGGCAATAATAGCGCCGTTAAACAACTATCAAGTCAGGGAACAGTTGGCAGTAGATTCAATCGGTATAGTTAGCAGTAGATTCAATGATGGGTAAGTGAAGGTCCATTTGGCAATAGGATCAGTGAAGGGGAAGTTGGGAGTACAATTGGCAGTGAGATCAGTGATGGGGAAGTTGGGGGTACAATTGGCAGTGGGATCAGTGATGGAGAGGTTGGGGTACAGTTGGCAGTGGGATCAGTGATGGGGAAGTTGGGGGTACAATTGGCAGTGGGATCAGCAATGGGAGGTTGGGGTACAGTTGGCAGTGGGATCAGTGATGGGGAAGGTTGGGGGTACAATTGGCAGTGGGATCAGTGATGGAGTGGTTGAAGTACAGTTGGCAGTGTATCAGTGATGGAGAGTGGGTATTGGCAGTGGGATCAGTGATGGAGAGGTTGAAGTACAGTTGGCAGTGGGATCAGTGATGGGGAAGTCCAGGGTACAGACAGTAGATGCCACCAGCAGGCTAACTCACGTGCTACGACCCTGGTGCTCTGGTGTCCTCCAGATCATTGGCACAACCACTGTGCTCCAGCCTGGCATCAGACACTGCACAGCAGTAGCACAACACACACGAAGTTCAGCAGATAGTGGAATCCACCGCGTGGAAGTTCTCCAGACATTGGAATCCCACCTGGTAATTGCCGGCAGCATCCACCCAGCTGTGACAGTACTCCCCCTGAGCCCTGGCACTGTCTCAGGAGAGCACCAAGTAAGCTGCTAGCAAGCCCATAGTAGTGTCCAGTGGGAATGACACCATCGTGGTCGGCTATCACTTCCTAAATGATGGTGTCACCCTTCTGGCAATTGAATTGTTGATGAAAAAAAAAATGATTTTGTGCATGCAGAAACGGAAACATCTGCAAAAACATGTTAAAAAAGTGGAAACGCATCTGGAGGATGTTTTTGTGGTGTGAACTGGCCCTCAATGCAGAAAAAGTTCTGTCCCTCAGACAATAAAACATGAATTCAAATATACAAAATATTAAAAAATAATTTCACTCCCCCCTTCCCCTCAATTCCTTTCCACCCTCTTTTCCACACTCCCCCCCCCCCCCCTTTTTTTTTCCTTCCTTTCCCTCTCTCTCTCTCTCTCCCTTCCTCTCTTCTTCTTCCCCTCCCCCTCTCATCTATGTTTTTCTCTTCTTTCTCTATATATTCGATCTCCTTTATTCGCTTGTCAGCTGATTTCTGATACTTTCCTGTCTGTCCCCCTCTTGGTCACACCTACACCTCCTGCTGCACAACTGCCCCTTCCCACATACTGTATCAATTTACAATATATGAAACTCTCATTGCTTGTACTCACTATGAAAGCTTGCATGGCAGCATGTCCTCCTTGGCATAGGACCCCGCCCCACTTAGTCTCATTTACAATGCACCGTATGATACCAGTATACTCGCCCTTCTTTCCTTACCGCCCCTCTCACCGAGCTCATCAGACGACTCTGGTTGGTAGTGGATTGAAATATCGCCTGCTTCGTGTTATGTTATACATGCTCTTCCCTTACTCAATGTGTCTGTTTTGGAGAGAAGTTATTATCATTTTTTGTCGATGTTTATTGTGTGCTCCAGGATTACACATGTCGCTCAGTTCAGTGTGACTTCTATGTCCAACTATTCAGATGTACACCTCTGTTTCTGTTATGTTGGATTTTCATTCTCAATAAAACATTATGAAATAAATAAATAGATAAATAAAATATATCATGTATTAGTAAGCCCCCTTGTTCCCCCCAATTAGCAGATCACACCCCTGGATTATCTTACCTGCTATAGGAGTGCTGAGATGCAGCGATGCTATACTGTCAGTGCGCAACTTTCAGCTGCTCAGGAAGAAAATGAGCTCCTTCCCTCCGTTCGCATTATACAGACAATGGCAAATGATTCACCGATTTTCACTTTCACGACTTCTAGTAACCCTTTTACACCATTACAGTCTCAGAATGGTGTTTTCAGAGAAGCCCCGTGTTTTATGTGCAATAACGTATTCAAGGTCATACACTCTAAAGCTAAAGTTCAGGCAAACAGCTATATAAACAAATATGCAGCGTTGGAAACAAGTAATGAAGTGATTGGTGCAAGCAACTTATAGCGCTATAGGTGAACAATAAAAATGATAGGAATCATCCAATGATGACGTAGCAGCAAAGTGAGAACAAATAGATAAATTAATAAATATATAAATATAAAGTGACTTGAGTGATTTTTTTTTTTAAATTGACATATGATCAGAGTCCAGCAATTAGGTGATCCGTGTCGGTGAAATCCGTAACAGGAACTGATAATGTGATTGCACTCACCAGAAGAGCAATTTAAGAGTGCATTTGTGTATATATTATTATCCCGTAGTGGTCATCTGGGTATGGATAAGCATGGTGGAAATCATCTGGCACACGTTCGGCATGCAAGGCAACTTCAGACCTCTCTCACAGTATCCAGGGATATGTGCTCAGACCTCATAGACCACCGGATGAAAATCAGCAAGAAACTGGAATATCTCCATGTGACGGGAGTGACTTTGGGTGGGGGGCCCATGGAACACAGCTCATTTTGGAGGGGTGGGGAGACCCCTGTCTCAGCTCCCCATATCCCTCTTATGTGTAAGTCACCTTGTGCCTGTTAGGGGTACAGGGTGGAATGTCCTGATATTGTGTAGACATGTATAGGTGGGGTGTGGGGGTTGTTTATTGTCTACTGCCATGTGGTGCATCCCATCATTCTATTGTGTGTCTTGCTTGGGAGCAAACTATAATGGGATGTATGTGTTTGTGTATTGGCTTGGTGGGCGGTGTCTGCTGATGTGTCTCTGGTTACTAGATTTGGTTTGTCCCACCCTGTGTTCATATGCAGGGAGGGGGGTTGTACACTTGAATGTTTATATCTTGTGTCTGTGTTAAAATAAAGCAGTCTATTTCCTGATTTTACTTTGAGTGGTGTCCGTGGATCTGTGTTCAGACAGGGAAGCGGGAGTCTAAAGGAAATACCCTAGTGCAGTCGGGTCCGGGTCCGTTACAATGGTGGCAGCGGTGGGATTGTGCTTCCAAGCTGTGAACACGCCCAAACCACCACTGGGATTCAAGATCAGGAAAGGAGACATCGGTCACCACAATGGAGATATGGACCTGGCATCAGAGTTTCCAGGGCTGCTGCAGACCGTTCCTGCAACATACCCCGGGACTGTGTCTACGGATGAGTACCTGGAGCTCAGGCAGCGGATTTGGGAGGTGCTTTGGAGAGGAGCCCTCCAGGTTGCTGGTATTGACAAGGGCAAGTGCTATCCAACCCCAGGGGAATGGGCCAGGGACAATCGGAAGTTACGGATGCCATTCCCAGGAGAGCGACCCCAGGAGCAATAGGTGACTGAGTTGGACAGGCTGGTCCAGCAGGAGATTGAGCTGGACAACCGATATCGGGCTCTGAAATGGTACGCAGAGCAGAAATATTTAGGGGTGTCAACAGAGTGCTCTCAGGAGGGATATGACTTTGGTGGTCCTGGATTGCTGTGGGAGAGCCTTACAGATCTTTTTGTGTTTGGAGATGAAGGAGAACCTACCCTTGAGGACCTGTGAGAAGACAGAGAGGCTATGTTCAGTCTCACAGGTGTCTCAGTGCTTGAACCAGATCTGGAAATACCTGCTGATGAAAGAACAGGATCTGGATAGGGCATACAGGAAACTGCTAAAACATGTTCAGCAGCAGGCCCAAGAATTGGCAGTAGAAATTCCAGAGACTGGGGATTTGATAGACTTCTTTGCTGAGGAAAAACAACCTGGTGAGCCTCCAGCAGAAGAGCTGGCAACAGGGCCACAAATTACTGAACTCTGCCCAGCACTAGAAACATCTTCTGGGTTCCACGGACAGGAGATGGTGAACCCCTATCCCCAGACACCAGTTCCAGAGACTGGGGATTTGATTGACTTTTCTGCTGAGGAGGAACCAGCCGGCGAGCCTCCAGCAGAAGAGCTGGCAACAGGGCCAAACATTGCTGAGCTTTACCCAGTACCAACAACAGCTTCAGTCTCCCTGAGAGAAGAGGTGGACGACCTTTCTCCTACACCACTTACAGGGACAAGGATTTCCTGCCAGCAGCAGCTTTGGAGGTAGAAGAAACTTCTCCAGCTGAAGTGCTGACAACCGGACAGAGGGTCCAGGACCTCTGCCCCACACCTGCGGTAGTTTCAGAGGCCCAGGAGGAGAAGGAAGAGGAGGATGTTGTCCTCCCTCCCCCACAGTCAGCAAGAGTGTAGGAAACTGTCTTCCCTCCCAAGCCAGGATTTGTGCACCAGGGGGACAGTGATAGAGGAATGCCATCCCAGCAGCAGATCCACAGTCTGGGAGTGGAGGAAGCCAGCCTCCCTCCCCTACGGTTAGCCGGAGCAGATGTGGGGTCCCCAGCAGAAGTGCTGGCAACAGGACAGAGCGCCGCTGGCCTCTGCCTAGCAACTACAGTCACCACCTGGATACCCCAGGGATGCTGGGCAGTCAGCCCAGATTCACCACAGCATGATGGAGTCGGCCCAGCCACCCTGTCTTCTCTCCAGTGGCTGAGAGAACTTCAGGGAGAAGGACCAGTCCGTATTTCTCCCCAGCGGTGGGTATGTTCTCCGAGAGAGGCAGAGCTTGGCTGGGTGAGTAATGCTTTGTTTGGGACAATTTGTTTGGGGTACTATGTGGGTGCTGGCATTGGGGGACTGGAAGTACAGATTAACTTCGGAGTCCACCCGTCTGGGGTTTACTCCTGCCTTAGTCTGCTGCCGAAAGGGGAGATATATGACGGGAGTGACTTTGAGAGGGGGGCCCATAGAACACAGTCAGACAGACCCCTGTCTCAGCTCCCCATATCCCTCCTGTGTGTAAGTCACCCTGTGCCTGTTAGGGGTACAGGGTGGAATGTCCTGATATTGTGTAGACATGTATAGGTTGGGTGTGGGGGTTGTTCATTGTCTACTGCCATGTGGTGCATCCTATTGTTTCATTGTGTGTCTTGCTTGGGAGAAAACTATAATGGGATGTGTTTGTGTATTGGCTTGGTGGGCGGTGTCTGCTGATGTGTCTCTGGTTACTAGATTTGGTTTGCCCCGCCCTGTGTCCATATGCAGGGAGGGGGGTTGTACACTTGAATGTTTATATCTTGTGTCTGTGTTAAAATAAAGCAGTCTATTTCCTGATTTTACTTCAAGTGGTGTCCGTGGATCTGTGTTCGGACAGGGAAGCGGGAGTCTAAAGGAAATACCCTAGTGCAGTCGGGGACCTGTTCCGTTACACTACACCTTAGAGAATCGTCAGTAACGAGCCAGAGAATAAAGTGCTGATAGTGAAGTAATTTTATTAACGTGCACGAGCACGAAACGCGTCAATGGAGCTTAACTGTTGTGAAGTTACGCTGCCGAGGTCGCATGGAAGGCCGGCGGCCATTTTAAATGACCAAACTGCAGATGTGAGTGTAACTCCTGCTCTGTACTACTTATTTATATTCCGATTTCAACTAAAATTACTGCACTAACAGCATTTTATTCTCTGATGAGCCTCCAAGGTGGAGATATTCCAGTTTCTTGCTGATTTTCATCTGGTGGTCTATGAGGTCTGAGGAGATGTTGTTGGATACTGTGAGAGAGGTCTGAAGTTGCCTTGCATGCCGAACCCTTAAGGGTTTTGGATTTGAATTGGGTCCCCCTAAGCTCTGCACAGCTAGGCAGCACACATTTTCAACAATTTCTCCTAGAGTCAGCAAAACATTCCTTGAGCTTGTTTTTTGTAGTTTTTATTTAAGGGTTAACAACTTGGATGGGGTCTAGTGTGTGACAAACGCGGTGCCCGACCCCCGCCCTTCTCACCAACTCATGATAAAGGACCAGCCAATCTCACACCGCACTGTCACTTGCATAACAAGGCCACTCTCAGCTGCACCCTGCACAAAAAATGTCCAGCTTGCGGGACCTAAATCTATGTGCCAGCAGCCCGAGAGCTATTGTCACTGGGTTAATTAATGACGCAATTAACCCTTCAAACTCTAAGCTGCCACCATAGTTTTGGGACTATCAACCCTTCACAATGTTAGTAAGAACAAATGTGAACAATAAACATCTGTAACACACACTGTCACCACAGACAGGTATATTCAGAGGATTATTATATACAGTAGCACTCTACAAGAGACAAGGATTCTTTAGTTTGCATTAAGAGCCTTAGAGATAAATTGAACACTTTTCAAAATAGGAAATATCCAATAGAGAAGATGGGACTTTCAAGGTGCATGGACATGAATACCACACATTAAAAGTTATATAATTTTTATTTCGTATTTTTGTAAAAACCACAAGAAAGGAAAAAATACAGAAACATAAAAACAATTTCAGTTCTAAGAATACCAACCGAGATTCAAACTTGGTTAGGTAAATGTAGTTACTCCCTACATGTTTCTCCCTCACGGGTTTCTTCAGGGGAGATTTTTTTGAGGAAATTTTTACCGCCAAGGCAGTCTAAAGGTATATCAAAGGAAAATTGTTCAATTACCAAACAACTTTATATATCCAATACAAGGTATTTAATCAAATATACAGCGAGGAACAGAAGTATTTGAACCCCCTGCGATTTTGCAAGTTCTCCCACTTAGAAATCATGGAGGGGTCTAAAATTCACATTGTAGGTGCATTCCCACTCTGAGAGACAGAATTTAAAAAAACAATTCAGGAAATCCCATTGTATAATTTTTAAAGAATTTATTTGTCTTGCACTGCTGAACATAAGATTTTGAACACCTAAGAAACAGCAAGAAATCTGGTTTTCAAAGACCTGTTACTGTGCCTTTAAAAAGTCCACCTCTACTCCACTCATTAATCTAACTTAGTAGCACCTGTCTGAGCTCTTTAAAGACACCTGTCCACCCCACAGTCAGTCAGAGGCCAACTACTACCATGGGCAAGACCAGAGAGCTGTCAAAAGACACCAGAGACAAATTTGTGGACCTCCACAAGGCTGGAAAGTGCTTTGGGGCAATTGCCAAGCAGCTTGATGAAAATAGATCAACCATTGGAGCAATTGTTAGAAAATGGAAGAGGCTAAAGATGACTGTCAGTCTCCCTCGGACTGGGGCTCCATGCAAGATCTCACCTCGTGGGGTATCACTGATGATAAGAAAGGTGAGGAATCAGCCCAGAACTACAAGGGAGGAGCTGGTCAATGACAAGAAGAGAGCTGGGACCACAGTTTCAAAGGTCACTGTCGGTAGAACACTACGCCATCATGGTTTCAATTCATGCATTGCACGGAAGGTTCCCCTGCTCACGTCATCACATGTCCAGGCCCGTCTGAAGTTTGCCAATGACCATCTGGATGATCCAGAGGAGGCATGGGAGAAAGTCATGTGGTCAGATGAGACCAAAGTAGAACTTTTTGGTCTAAACTTCACTCGTCGTGTTTGGAGGAAAAAGACAGATGAGTTGCATCCCAAGAACACCATCCCTACTGTGAAGCATGGGGGTGGTAACATCATGCTTTGGGGGTGCTTTTCTGTGAAGGGGACAGGACGACTGCACTGTATTAGGGAGAGGATGAATGGGGCCATTTATTGTGAGATTTTGAGCAACAGCCTCCTTCCCTCAGTCAGAGCATTGAAGATGGGTCATGGCTGGGTCTTCCAACATGACAACGACCCGAAGCACACAGCCAGGATAACCAAGGAGTGGCTCCGTAAGAAGCATATCAAGGTTCTGGAGTGGCCTAGCCAGTCTCCAGACCTAAATCCAATAGAACATCTTTGGAGGGAGCTGAAACTCCGTGTTGCTCAGCGACAGCCCCGAAACCTGACAGATCTAGAGGAGATCTGTGTGGAGGAGTCGGCCAAAATCCCTGTTGCAGTGCAAACCTGGTCAGGAACTACAGGAAACGTCTGACCTCTGTAATTGCAAACAAAGGCTTCTGTACCAAATATTAACACTGATTTTCTCAGGTGTTCAAAAACTTCTGTTCAGCAGTGCAAGACAAATACATTCTTTACAAATCATACAATGGGATTTCCTGAATTTTTTTTTTTTTAAATTCTGTCTCTCAGAGTGGGAATGCACCTACAATGTGAATATCAGACCCCTCCATGATTTCTAAGTGGGAGAACATGCAAAATCGCAGGGTGTTCAAATACTTCTGTTCCTCACTGTATATACATATATATGGGACTCAATGGCTCACCCTGGATGTGAAAGCTCACAGGGCTAGGAAAAAATGACCTAAAAAAGATCTTAATTGTCCTACACATCCAAAACAGTTGTAGAGGATATAATGGGCATCAGATATCATCTAGGCACAATGGGATAGGCAAAAAAAGATTGATTAAATTTAACAGAAGATATGAAGAGATCATAATTCAATAGGTTGAGGTAAACTTTTGGCAGTTTTACCTGTGTAGCACCCTTGGGTGATGCTTGGCTAGATATATAGGTTCAGCTCTCACCTGAATCTGCTGACACCTCCGATTATACCCAGAACACTTTGACACTCTGAGAATATTTTTTATGGGTTTTATTGAAGAAAACAAACCCTGAAAAAAGAACTAGTTGATTTAACACAGGTAATGTACATAAAACACAGATACCACTTTGCATAACACAGTTAGTAAGAAGTCACAATTCACTCGCCAAAGACTCCAAAATCTGACTAGTATCACACTGACTAGGGTGGCACATGAGAGCGACATTGACACATGAACAATAACTGTTAATGAGATTTAGCAGCTTATTGACATTTGTTATAGCAGTACTATCTAGAGCAGAAATGTCCTACCTAACCACTGTCCAGGTGATGAAACTTACAGTCTCTCAACGTTGGGGCCCTTTAATCAATGGAAGAGCGCTCACTCTCTGCATGGGAGAGTATTTGTAATCCAGGGGTAGCAGGATAGCACAGTCTCCTTTAAGCAGAATCTTCCAGTGAACATTGCAATAGAAGAAAACAACACTTCAACAAATCTTTACCATACAGGTGAAATCCTGATATACTGACACTTGCTCAGTATATTCAGAGCACCAAGCTTCTGTGTGGACTTGGAACTAAACACACTTTTCAGCCACAGCACAAGTCTTGAGGAGTCAAACCAGTAATATACAGTTGCAAGAAAAAGTATGTGCACCCCTTGGGATTACGTGGAGTTTTTGCATGAATTGGGCGTAAAATGTGCTCTGAACATCATCTAAGTCACAACAATAGAAGAACACAGTCTGCTGAACATAATACTACACAAACATTAGATGTTGCCATGGTTTAATTGCACATAACATGTAAACATTCACAGTGCAGGGAGGAAAAGGCAAAATAGATCAACTCCTCAAGATTCTTAATCTGCAATCTCATCTTTAATGTTATCAGAGAGGCCATGGGAAAAAGCAGCTAGGAGAGCCTCATTGTTCCAACCAACCTCAGCTGCCAGAGTGCCGAATGCAATAGTGTAGTCGTCAGAAGTTCTCATACTCTGTTTAATGGCCATGAGAGCTCTTGGCAGCAGAGGTGAAGGAATATCAAATACCCTTTAAAAGGAGGCCACAAATTCAGGGTAATTCTGGACAACATGTTTTTGTGTCTCCCATAGAGGGTTTGCCCAAGCCAAGGCTTTGTCAGAAAGCAAGAAAAAATGACTCCTGCTTTGCTTCTGTCCATAGGGAATGCCTCGGGCAGCATCTCAAAATATATTCCAGCTTGCAGAAACCCTCTGCCGTGAGCTGGATCACAGCATACCACTGGGGAAGTGGAGCAGAACCAGTCATTCCTCTTACAGTGGTGGTATCAGAGGAGACTGCATGAACCGAGATGGGAGCAGCAGCAGGGATGGCTTGCAACACTGGTTGTACCGGAGCCGCCGGAGTAGGAGGATCCAGATGAGTATTTCAGATTAGGAGTCTTTGTAATACTATTGCAAACTGATCCAAGCGTTGGTCCTGCTCATCCAATCTGGAAAAAAATATTGCGACTAGGTGGATTGCCTTAATCTTCTGAATTCATTCTTTGCATATAGTCAGAACTATGAACCAAGCGGAGACAGAAAATGCACTTAAAATCACACCTTTAATGAAATAGAAAATATAACAGAGATCAGGAACGTAGTCAAAACGGAAGCCAGTGTTTGGATGCAAGAGCGGGTTATCAGACAACCCAGAGTCAGGAACCCAGAAGTCAGTGTAGTCAAGAGCCAAAAGTCGGGAACAAGAATCAG